TTTTTGTAATAAGAATTGATTCAAGGCTTTTTGAATGAAATCGTAGTGAAAAATGCTTGAAATATTAATCGTAAAAAGTCAAAGATATTGAAATTCCAGTAGTGCACAGAGTGAAACGATCTTCACATTTCAGTAGCTGAAACAATGAATTGAATAATTTATTTGTTGTCAGGATTTTTTTTCTCGTTTGGCAGCTCACAGCATCTGCCTCAGTGTCACTACATCACCGTCCTCATCGACTTCTCTAAATTTATCGACTTTAACTTTAGCTTCTTATCTGCGAGTTTCTTGTGCTGTTTATTTAAAGACAATCTCGTCATCTTTAACACTCACATCATCATGTTGAGTTGTCCAAATGTTTTCAAACCCTCAACCGTAAACCTCAGGTTTCTGTTGCTTTTCTGCATAAAAGATTCCTTCTCTTTAGTGTTGGCCTCATTTTTACTGACATGCAACAATAGCCTGAGGTTTTCAACACAAAAGAAGTGGATTCTTATTCCACCAGCAACAGAAGTGTCAACAGACCAGAGCGAGGCTGCCGTCAATCTCTGCAGCTGCACAAAAAAACCTCCAAAACAGATAAACACAGTGCCAAGTTCAGACACGCAATCCAAAACAGATTTGGCAAATTGAAGGAGGATAAACACCCGGTGGTATGGTTTTGAAAAACATCTAGTTATACGTTTAGGAAAACTAGCATCCTTTAGATGTTTTGGTGTCTTCAAAATCTGTTTGAACGGTCGCAAACTGCCTCCATAGACACAGATAGAACGGATAGAACTGTTCGATTTCAGACGTAAGTCCCTGCCAGTCCTGCAAAACATCCAACATCGTCCAACTTGATTTCATATCGGCAGATTTAGTGTCATTTTAAATGATTGCTTTTTTTTTTTTTTTTTTTTATTTAAATCCCCAAATCTCTTTTCTATATATAGAAAAGTGGCTTTATCCATTTCTTATTTAAGAATTTTAAAATAACTCAACCCAGTTTTCCTTCAGTCCTACTTAGCCCTCTGGAGTCCAACCCCTACAGTTTATTGGTACCACGTTTTAAAAAAGGGTCAACATAGGTGCCTCGCAACCTCTTTAAAGTTGACCCTACGAAATAGTTGGCATTCCTCAAGGCAGAGAACCTGGGGATGGGAATGGCTGATGGGAATATTTTAACAATTGGTCAAACACAAAAAAAGGAGTTACAATATGAGCTTTATACTCCTGGCTCTGTTCAGTAACCTCTCTATTTTCTCTTCCTGAGTCTGTTTCCACTCTTCCAAAAAATTGTTAATGGTTGGCTCATGGTGCAAGGGCACAGAGGAAGGTTGGGGGTGGGGGTTGGCTATTCATTCTCACTGGGGAAGAAGCTCTTCACACTCACTGGAAATCTTGCACTGGAGCTGGGTCCCGGGAAGAAAGAGATGGGAAAAGTGAAGCTACGACAGCGGCACCGCAGCGGAACAATACCACAACTTTTGAACATGTGGTGAAATAATAAAAGAGTCTGAGTGAACTTGGGTCTCAAATGTGACACGACACAATTTGCCAGTGGGCTGGAAAAATATGTGTGGAAAAGTCATTTAGCTGCTCAGATGTGTGAAATGTGCACAGATTTTTTTTTTTTGTTTTTCGTATTTTAAGGACAGGGTAGAAGTGAGTTTTCCTACACAACGCCAACGCCCTGCACAGGAAAACAGGCACACAATTGCCTAAAAGAAAGGAACCTGGCGTGCAACATTCCCAAACTCATTAACTCTGTATAGGGGCACCTTGAAACAATCACGTGCATCTTCTGAACAACCTTCCCATGCACCATCGCCTGGTTTGCTCTCATTCTCACGGGGGCGCCCCTCTCGACCTCCCAACTTCCATCCCCCACCACAATGCACCCAACTCTGTTTGCCCTCTTGTTCCCCCCACAACTTCCTGTCTTTTCCGTTTTCTGCAGACCCTTTCAGCATCACAGAGCTTCCTCCTCCTCCTCCTCCTTCTCCTCCTCCCTCTCACTCTCAGAAACAATGTCAGCTCTCCTCAGCTTTTTTGGACCGGTGCCTGGAAACCTGAGCCCATAAAAGAGAAAGCGTGAGGAAAAGACACATATTGGATAGTGTATGGGTTCACCTAATCACTCCTTGACGTGTTCGCGAAGCTATTTCTGCAGCGGTTACGTCTGCTACGAAAGAATGGTACTGAAAGGTCTGTGGAAGTCTGAGGAAGAGACCAGCACAGGAGCACTTCTTTGACACCAAACCCTTTTTTGTACGTTAGGGTACGTGCGTTTGAGCTTCACTGATGAACTGGACTGTTTCATTTATGTGCATTGATGACCAGAGACCAATAAACCTCCCTTGAATCTGTTGAGGTCATCTGTAGTCCACATGGCATTGGTGTTGACACGTCTGGCTGTCTGTCTCAAACATTAACTGTGTGATTCAGCGAGAGGCGCTCATGTGTAGCCTTGCATCAATGCTAAAGCTTCACGCAGCCTCTGAAATTAATATGTTACAAGTTTTTAGGCTTTCAAGAAATGAATATGTTACAAGTTTTTAGGCTTTCAATGATGAATCCCTTTGTAGTACATAAAACAAATGACCAATCAGATCAGTTGAATACTTTTCTAATTAACAGGACGTAAATCTGATTTCCCTCCATAGTTCATGATGCATTTTGCATTAACTTTGCATAAAGAGCAGAAACACAGTAAAGCAGCTCCCTTCTTCCGTGGTGGATAATTCCGCACATGTGATTTGGCACAGGTTTTAACGCCAGATACTCTTCCCGATACAATCTGTTTGGGCTTGGACCAGGAACTAGACGGGGATGGACTCTAGCTTAACGGTGTTCTATGGTTGTCACCAGCAATTTGGGGGTTAATTGGCTTGCTAAAGGGCACAACGGCACACATATGGACTCAAACGTCTATCCTTCTGGTTGGCAGATAACCATCCTACTTTATTATCTCCGTTGTTATCTTCCTCTCAGAAACCCCTCCTCTCCCTGACGATGTGTTTCCCCTGGAACCATCAGAGGGATTATACGCATTAAGTGACCTTCAGAGGGAAAAGCCTCACCTTCACACCTGCACACCTGCTGGAAACTATCTATAATGTCATGGTGTCTGGTCAGCCTGCAGCAGCAGCACTGACAGCAGCAGCAGCACTGACAGCAGCAGCAGCGTCTTGCCTCTAGGGGATGTGACTGACTGGCAGCATTTGCCCGCTGCAGAATTCTAGTTCTGAGCTTCTCCTTTCAGTATAACCACTCTTCCTCTCATGGAAACCTGTGCTTAAAATAGCTGTGAATAATTGATGGCGATGGGGATGAAGAGCTAAAGCAGAGAGTGACATTGTAAAATCTGACACTGTAAACATCAGCGGCTCCACACTTGGATCTGTGAGTCGGAAGAACTTTAATAAACAGTCTGTCCGTGACGAGCTTTTCCTTCCCTGCGCCGGTTTCAACACCTCGCTTCTCTTCTTGGCCTCCTACAGCCTTTTCCCCCTCAGTTAACCAATAAAAAGATCCGAAATTAGACATTCAAATTAGCCAGGTATAACTGAGGCTGTGATGACCTGTTGAATAGTATTTCCACGAACCCTGACAGAGATTTCTGCTGACTGTGCAGGCCTCTCAACATAACTCCATATTTAGGCTCATGTATTCATATACGCTGATGATTTACGTTCTTCCTTTCCTTCACTGAACTTCTTAGTACTCTCCCTGCTTACTGTACATCTCCCACCCTCAGCTCCGAGTGTTTAAAAGGACAATGAGTCAGTTTGGACAGTGACGCAGATCCAAATGTGAGCACGCCCTCCAATCACAACCAAGCCCTGACACCAGTCCCAGCAGGCTCCGAGGAAGACAGACCCAAATTACACGCGTTAACTCTCCAGCTATGTCACGTCTAGAGTCTGAGCCAAAACTTAAGGCAAACCCAAACAGCACACGGT